CTGGCACGTACTAATACCTCTGTCAGTGGCTGAGTCTCTAGCAATGCTACCCAGTTGGTGAGCTTCTCTGCCATCGAGCAACACACTATTGGCCCCAGTGTCCTAACTTCCAAGTAACATCATGACAATGGGTTCATTTGGGTGTTGTACATAGCCTTCTCTTGATCGTCGAATTTCAGTCATATTCTGAGGTCGGGTAGTAGTAATGGTGACAGTGTCTTCCTCACTCTCTTCTCCTTGTCTTTTAGTTTTTGCTGTTGCCTTATGCAGTGTCACTGACAGTGGTCTTGTTGAGGGCTCCTCCCCTAGGCCTTCTTCCTCTTCTTCCTCCTCTTCTTTTCATTCTAAACATGACAACCCAGTCTTGTTGATACAGTAGGGGGAAGGGAAGCCATCCAGAGGGACTAGAAAGGCTGGAGAAGTGGGCCCATGTGAACCTAATGAGGTTCAAGAAGGCCAAGTGCAAGGTGCTGCGCTTGGGCCAGGGCAATCCCAGGTATTTATACAAACTCGGAGAAGAACCCCTTGAGAGCAGCCCTGCAGAAAAGGACTTGCAGGTCCTGGTGGACAAGAAGCTGGACATGAGCCAGCAGTGTGCGCTTGCAGCCTGGAAGGCCAACTATATCCTGGGCTGCATTAAAAAAGGAGTGTCCAGCAGGGAGAGGGAGGTGATTGTCCCCCTCTACTTGACTCTTGTGAGGCCCCATCTGGAGTCCTGTGTCCAGGCCTGGGGCCCCCAGTACAAGAAAGACACAGAGCTCTTGTAACGAGTCCAGAGGAGGACCGCTAAGATGATCAGAGGGCTGGAGCACCTCTCCTATGAAGAAAGGTTGAGGGAACTTGGCTTGTTTAGCTTGGAGAAGAGAAGGCTGTGGAGACCTCATTGTGGCCTTCCAGTACTTGAAGGGAACATATCAACAGGAGGGAGAAAGACTGTTTACATGTGTTGATAGTGATAGGACAAGGGGGAATGGTTTTAAACTAAGACAGGGGAGATTTATGTTAGATATTAGGAGGAAGTTTTTCACCCAGAGGGTGGTGACACACTGGAACAGGTTGCCCAAGGAGGTTGTGGATGCCCCATCCCTGGAGGCATTCAAGGCCAGGCTGAATGTGGCTCTGGGCAGCCTGGTCTAGTGGTTGGCAACCCTGCCCACAGCAGGGGGGTTGAAACTAGATGAGCATTGTGGTCCTTTTCAACCCAGGTCATTCTACGTTTTTATGGTTTTATGATTCTATGAACACCCGTTCCCATATTTGTCTTTCCACAGGGGCAACTGACCTCAGTATTCCCTCTGATTGATCTGGTTGAGCCATTGTTTTAAGTTCGGAGACTCTTTCTCTCTCTAGATTAGTAAACTCTCTTTTGGCTTGGAGATTCTCTCTCTCAGTTTGTACTTTCTCTCCCTCAGCTTGGCAATTTTCCCTTTTGGCTTCAAGACTTTCTTTCTCAGATCAGGGACCTTCTCCCCTAGTTCAGAGACTCTCTTCATTCGGAGACTTTCTTTCTCGACTCGAAGATTCTCTCTCTTAGTTTGGACTCTCCCTTTTGGTCTGGAGACTCTCCCTCTCGGTTCTGAAACTCTCTTCATCGGCTCAGAGACTCTCACCCTCAGTTTCAGAGACTCTCTTGGAGACTCTCTCTCTCAGTTTGAAGATTCTCCCTCTCGGTTTGATGACTCTCCCTTTTGGCTCGGAGACTCTCTCCCTCTCCGGGATAGTATTAAATAAGGCCCGATAAGCCTAAGCCAGGCCCCAAATAATTTGTGCCTCTTCAGATCCACCTGAGCCACAACATCCCTGTCTTAAATACTGGCTTAGATTCTCAGGATCTTGCTGGTCTTTCAGGAGTAAAATTCCATGACACTGGGGATGCCCGTTTCTCTAAGGTCTCTCCCAAGTCCCTCCACACTCCCTGCCACTCAGTATTCTCTGGCTGTGGGGAAGGCTTCCTCCAGGTATTCTATATACTGATACTGAGTAAGATGATGTAGAATGCGTTCAGGGAGACTGACTACATGATCATTGATTGAACATTTCAAAAATGTATAAGGCATTCAAGGAAGAGACTGGAAGCCTGTTTATAAATCACATGTTCTGTAATATTAGTAACTCCCTCTGGGGTGTAACTTTCAATGTTTAAACCATACCACATTGTATGCAAGCACCAGATAGGTGTTTCCACCAGTGCTTCTATTTTTTTTATATATGCATACAGCTCCAAAGCGCAGAATGGCATACTTAATAAAGGTCCAGTATGTTCTAAGTACTAAAATCCAGATCGTGATGAAATGTAATCCCTTGAAGAACTATTTTAAAAATTCAGTTTTTGTCTCCTTACAAAACCCAGTTGGCATGGTGCCAAAACCAACAACAAAATTGGCAGTATTCCTAGAAAGTTGACAGGATGCCCAGAAACTAAGGCCTGCAGAGTACAGATAAGGTTTCTAAGTTCAATTCCTGGCCAGTGCACCATAATTGCCATAGTTAGGCCTTGTTCAGCTTAATTCTGTGTCAAGGGGGCAAAGGGATCTACGAACTCATGCACTGGGAAGGGGGAGGTGAAGGGAAAAGGTAGGAAGACAGGCCTGGATGAAGGATAACAGCAGCAACAAGCTAGGGAAAAATGTGATTTACTAAATACAGTAGCGAAATGTGAGATAACACAGTGTAATACAATATGATTGGAATTGAAGCTAATAAATCAAATGAAATGAGGAAGAGTTTTTGAAACCAAAGTCCTTACTCTAATGCTGTAGGTGAGACGGTCAGGGAGTACAGACAGTCTCATTACTCCCAGTCAGTTTTATCTTTCCTTCTGAATGGAAAACGGAAATGGAAAAATTAAGTCTTCTGAGAGTTGTAGTTCATTCTCTTCTGAGACCAATATTGACGATTCATAGAACTGCAGCATTAACCTTTTAACTCCCAGTGCACTGAATGATGTTATGACGTAGAAGACTGGAATTAGAAGATCAGAGGGCTGAAGAACCTTTCTTATGAAGACAGGCTGAGAGAGCTGGACTTGTTCAGCCTGGAGAAGAGAAGGCTCAGGGGAGACCTGACAGTGACCTTCCAATACTTAAAGGGAGCTTATAAGTAGGAGGAAAATCAACTTTTTACATGGGTAGATAGTGATAGGACAAGGGGGAACGGTTTTAAACTAAAAGAGGGGAGATTTAGATTAGATGTCTGGGGGAAATTTTTCACTCAGAGGCCGGTGAGGCACTGGAACAAGTTGTTCAGAGAGAGAAATTGTGAATATTCATCCCTGGAGGTGTTCAAGGCCAGGTTAGATGAGGCCCTGGGCAACTGAATCTGGTGCCTGATTTAGTGGTTAGCAATCCTGCCAATGGCAGGGGGGTTGGAACTTAATGATATTTGAGGTTCCTTCTAAGCCAAGCCATTCTATGATTTTATGAATTAGATTCACAACACACACCAATATAAGAATTTTGGTTATGCAAGGATATTCCAAAAACTCAGGAGCCATTGTAACACAGCAGGACACAGCTATCCTTAAGGTGAAAGGGGAGATGCCATTCTTTATTTCCCCCACAAAGTGACTCCCAGAGGAGAAGAGGAGGAAAGTGTAATTATTAATTGCCTTCGTAAGATCCCAGAGTAAAGGGATGGCAATAATGCAGGGCCCAAATACCAAGCTCAAAGCCAGTGCTTTTATCATAGTTGTCCCAGGTAAAACAAACAAACAAACAAACAAACAACAACAACAACAAACCCAGCAAAGTGATAAACAGTACAGCAAAATGCAAGAGCTGAAATCAGCCATTAAGAAGCCTTGGAATTTGATGCACAGCAAGAGAGGGAGCATGTCACAGAGCAGATGAGGGAACAAATAAACCAATATCAAGAACAGACAAAGTAACACTGTGATGAGCAACAGCAAGTAACAACTTGTCAAGTAATAACTGAACAGATCATCATCTTGAACCTCTTGAGCCTCATGTTGGGTGCCAAAATAGACCACGGTGGGTTGACCCCAGCCAGCAGCCAACAGTTACTGAGAGAAGACAAATGCCATAACCACAAATACCTCTCCTCTTCATGTCTCCAAGCTTTTATTGCTGAACACAACATCATACGTTAAGAAATACCCCTTTGGTCAGTTTTGGTTAGCTGTCCTGATTGTGTGCCTTCCCAACCTCTTGTGCACCCTCAGCCTACTTACTTCTGCCTCACAGCAGAGTGGAAAAAAGGAGAAAAAACAAGGAAAGCTGGACAATGTTCAAACATTACTCAGCACTAACCAAAATACTGGTGTGTTGTCAACGCTTTTTTAGTCAAAATCCAATTCAAAATGCCATAAGGCTACTATGAAGAAAATAAACTCCATCCCAGACAGACCCAGTATACATTGCAAAATTCAGCATTTTGATTACATTAAAAGCTAATTATAGTGAAAGAAAACTGTTAGTGCTATGTTTTAGTCTAAACTATGAAAACAAGTTATTTTATTTTATTTTTTTTAAAGAAAAAGAATAACCTGCACATTTCCCTGAAAGACATTAGTAACAACAGCAAGGAGTCATTCTACCACCACCCACATTTGTATTTTTAGTGTCGTTACTAATTCCAGCTTTTTCACAGAGTAGGAAGACTGGAAAGAGTTGGTAACCAATTTAAATATATATAATTGTTTGCTAACTAGTGCTATCCTCTACCTGTTCATGGAAATAATATATTGATTTTTTTTTCCTTCTTTCCCTGACCCCTTGGATCTAGTAGCTTCTCTCTCAAAGAAAAGCATGTGTGCTAGCCAAAAGCTTTTCTTGCCAAATACACAATTCATTCAAGTGTTTGGTTGTTGTTTTGTTTTTTTTTCCTGCCTATATTCCTCTGTGCATGACAACCCCAAAGTAGTTAGTCTTAGAAATAATTAGTAAAAGATGAATCAATGCAAACATTACTTTATGGTGCATTTTAACTCTCACAAACAGGAATTTTCAAGTAAAAATTTGAACAGAAGAGCTCAAACTTACGGTGGCAGTATCTCTGCAGCCATGAATATTTTCTCCACCAATTCTGAAAGTATACTGAGTAGATGTGCCAAATTAGTGTTCACATCTTCATTTTTTTCTAATTTTGAGGGATTTAACTAAAGCAAAAAGGAAAAAATATTAAATCTCTTCTCTTGAATAGAGCTCCATATAGGGCTGCTCTGAAAGTAATGCCTCGTATTTTATTATGTTGTCCCACAACGTCAGAAGCACTGTGGTATGGCAGTAAAGGTTGAACCTTCCTGCCAACATTCCATTACACTTTGTTGTTGTGCAACAGATGACAGCAGAGGGAGAGTATAACAAAATGGTGTCTGACATGGAAGTGCATATGAAGCAAAGGTCTGTCATTGAATTCCTTCATGCAGAAAAAATTGCATGCATTGACTTTCATCAACACTTGCTCAATGCTTATGGAGACCGAACAGTGGATGTTAGCACAGTGAGGCAGTGGGTAGTTTGTTTCAGCAGTGGTGACAATGACAGTGGGTCTTGGTCACTGATGATGAAAATGCACAGCTAATACTGGTGACTATGTTGAAAAATAGTGTTTTGTAGCTGAGAATTTGCTCTATCAAATAGCATTATTGTGCTCTTTGTATCTGTTATAGTTTCCATTGAAATAAATAGGAGGCATTACTTTCAGAGCAACCTACATATAATTTGACAACATTACACACTGATTAACATTTCAAACTAAACAAAATATTCTACTGCTGTACACATCTCAGACTTCTACAGAGATTGCAATTCTGGTTCAAGGAAACTAATATGAAAAAGCAACATTTTTAAGTTCTAGTGTGCTCTGCTTTTAAATGTACAGACATTTAACATTAACCATAAATACCTATCATAACTACCTACGTTTATCATTTTTTAAGGGACGAATATTTTTATATACTTTAGTCCAATTCTCTGAGGACCCTTCATCCTTTCCATAATTAAAAATGTCCCCCACAACATTCCTGTGGAGAAGCTGGCTGCCCACGGTTTGAATGGGCATACACTCCGCTGGGTGAAACACTGGCTGGATGGCCCGGCCCAAAGAGTTGCCGTCAATGGAGTTAAATCCCGTTGGTGGCCAGTCATGAGTGGTGCCCCCCAGGGCTCAGTACTGGGGTCACTTCTATTTAACATCTTTATTAACGATCTTGATGAGGGGATTGAGTGCACCCTCAGTAAATTTGCAGATGACACCAAGTTGGGAGGGAGTGTTGATCTGCCAGAGAGGAGAAAGTCACTACAGAGGGACCTGGATAGACTAGATCAATGGGCCAAGGTAAACTGCATGAGTTTTGATAGGGTCAAGCGTCGGGTCCTCCCCTACAGGCTTGGGGAAGAGTGGCTGGAAAGCTGCCTGATGGAAAGGGACCTTGGTGTACTGATGGACAGTCAGCTGAATATAAGCCAGCAGTGTGCCCAGGTGGCCAAGAAGGCCAATGGCATCCTGGCTTGGATCAGGAATGGTGTGGTGAACAGGAATAGGGAAGTCATCCTGCCCCTGTACTCAGCACTGGTGAGGCCTCACCTCGAGTACTGTGTTCAGTTTTGGGCATCTCAGTACAGAAAGGACATGGAGGTGCTGGAGCAGGTCCAAAGAAGGGCAACAAGGCTGGTGAAGGGCTTGGAGAATATGCCCTATGAGGAGAGACTGAAGGAACTGGGGCTGTTTAGTCTGGGGAAAAAGAGGCTGAGGGGAGACCTTATTGCCCTCTTCCAATATCTGAAAGGTGCTTACAACGAGAGCAGGGCTGGTCTCTTCTCACTGGTGACAGGTGACAGGACGAGGGGAAATGGCCTCATGTTGCGCTGGGGTAAGTTTAGATTGGATATCAGGAAAAAATTCTTTACAGAAAGGGTTGTTAAGCACTGGAATAGGCTCCCCAGGGAGGTGGTTGAGTCACCATCCCTGAACGCATTTAAAAACCATTTGGATGTGGTGCTCAGGGACATGATTTAGCAGAGAGTTATTAGTTAGGGTAGTATGGTTAGGTTGCGGTTGGACTTGATGATCTTTAAGTTCTTTTCCAACCTGAGCAGTTCTATGATTCTATGATTCTATAATTATGTTGAAGTAAAACAGAAGTTAGGAGTGTATTTTTAGAAAGAAATAGAATCTACAAAAAGGAGTTAATATAGAGGAGTTTTAAAATAAAACCGTGATCAGACACTGACTTCTGGAATATCTAGAGCTTACCACAAATTTATGTTAGGCCATTCAGTAACTGTACAAAATAACCTACAATTGCTAAAGAATAAATACATAACTTAAAGAAATTTGAGTTAAACTTATTTAAAAGTGATATTATGAACATTGTTCAAGCCAACATTTAAAAAAAAATCTCAATCAGTTCAGTATCTGTATTTCTCATGTAAATGAAATTATTTCTGAAAGACTGATGAATAAATGCTTCCAAAGCAAATAACACATAACTACTAGTAGGTCATTTCAACAAATCAAAATGTTTTAAAAAATACATAGTTCAAGGTATCACCTCACAGGACTGCTTGCTCTCCATTATCTTTAATATACAGTCTTTCAGTGCATGGTGAACAAAATGTGTTGCTGTCGCTTTCATGTATTGCTCCATAAGTGTACTTGCTAAAGTGGTGGCACGAAACAAAGTAGTAGCTTCAGCTGAAAAAGAAAGAAAAAAGGAGATGAAATTGAAAAGTCAGGAAAAGGAGACAAAAATAAAAGCTGAGGAAAAATATGTTGTGTTCAGTTTGATATATCCTTTAGTTAAGGGAGGAGATAGATACAAAGACATGGGAGCCCTTCTCTCCTCAGAGTTTCAGTAAATGTTGGCGTAATTAGTACAGTACCTTCCATACTTATTTCCTTGTCATTTAGTGATCGTAACAATAGAGACTCGAGCTTTTCATGAAGAAAAATCTTCAATAAAATGCCAGCTAAGAGTGTTCTATCCTGTCCACAAACATGTGATAAAGCATAGACTACGTGAAGCTCTTTCTGAAGTATGATCTGAAAGAAAAACAAAATAATGTTTGGAAACTTCTAATATAACAGCTTTGTAAAAACTGATATTTTACATCTATAGTGACATATGGATATCACTACAAATACTACTTAATGTATATTAGCGTCATTGAAATCTCTCTAACAACTAAAAAAAAAAAATTGACAGAAACTGCAGTAACAAACTTATTACCTCTTTAAACTCACTATATTCTTCTTCTGGCATGATCTTCTCCATAGAATATCGTGCTCGAACACGCAAAGATCCTGGCTCAATACCCTTTAGTGGTATATAGGAACTGAGTTGAAACCACTCATCTGTTGCATGTCCTTTCTGTAATCGGCTTAATTGGCAACGCATAAACACTTCAAGAAAAAAGCATTAAGTAGGTTATCTCCAGTAAAACAGTGCTAGTATTGAATAAAAAAAATATATTTTTTCAGCATGTCATCTTGTTTAATCAAAAGTGTATTAAGAAAAATAATTAAAATTTGTGCCATCAAATATATTGACCCCTTGATGATTTAGAACTCCTGTAAACTGATGCTGAAATATAAAACGATGTAAATAGCATATACATATACATTCCTAAATGCAACATATATTAATATAGTTTCCTTTGTAACACCCAAATAGTGGAAAAAGTAAAACACAAAACACTCACACAAAAAGCCATGCAACACAAAACTACCTGGCAAACCTAGGCAGCAATCAGAAAATTAAAACAGGTAGTGTGATTAGAATTTACTGTCCTCTTTAAAGCCTTGGATTCATATTTCCATCAGTTCTGCTCTTGAGCTGCTTATTTATAACTTATATAACTTATTTATTATTAGCATTACTACATATTTCACAAATGTTGCCACATGTATTTCTTTAATACTTAGGAAATCCCAGGTTAAGGCTGTAACAGTATATACAAGCTATATAATAAAGCATTCCCAGACAGCTTACTGCCCAAATAATGACAAAAATCAACCCAAGAATGACAGAATCATTAATTCACTTTTTTGTGGTGTCGGTACCTAGTTACCAAGCAGTGACTTGCACCAGCTTATTCAACCGTAATTGAAAGTCTGGTCTGACAGCTGAGTCGTAAGCTGCAGAAGTTACAACACTGGCCATTGTAAAATAAGCAAATGCTCTCCTGAACTCAGTGGGCATCACACAGGAAGGTCACACACTTGCAGAGACAACATTCAACCTATGTAATATCCACAGTGTTTCAAGAGACGATACACAATTTCAGTATCGCGTTTAGCTTGCCAGACAGTCTGGAAATTCCAAGAAAACACCCTTTTTATGCATCTCTTTATGCAATCTACTTTATCTCAATACTTCACATAAAAATAAATATAAAATTAAATAATAATAGAAATACCACACCACCAACAGCCCCAAGAAAAAAAAACAAAACAAAACAGAAAACACACCATCACACACAAACTACACCACACTTCTTTTTCACTTTTCCACAAATTAATGGTTTTCCATAGCACTTCCTCGTATCCTCCCCCACCTGCATGGATCAGTATCTCAGCTGTTAGAATTAAACATTCTTCAGTTCAAGAGAGATGATACAGTGGGTGCTAGAGGAACAGGTGCATGAGTTGCAATGAAAATCAAAGACAAAAGAGGATTCTTCCAGGAAAATGGCCACTCCAGTTTCCAGTGGAAAGTTCCCCCAGAGTAGATGGTCTGAGACTGATAAGGAGCCTTCTGGGTAGCATTCATGACAAGTGAGTAATGAATACAATAACCAGGACTAGAGGGACCCTACCTCCAGCCAGGTGGAGGAAAGGGACAGTCAGATTTGCTGAGCTGTGCAGACTCAATGGCCTAGCACATCAGAACTATAGGAACATAAAGCTCCAGCAGTTGTAAAAAGACAGAACCCATCTATATTTCTAGAGTGACAGGGGGATCCCAAGAGCAAACTGTATGGGAGGCTGAAGTGAGCCTAATCAGAAATGAGTGGCAAAAGCACCCCATTGTGACCAGCCCAGAGGCTCCATGCATCCCTGGCATAGATTATCTCAGGAGAGGGTACTTGAAGAACCCAAAAGGCTACCGGTGGGCTTTGGTATAGCTGTCTTGTAGACAGAAAATTAAGCAGCTGTTTACCTAGTCCAGTCTCTCAGAGGACCCTTCTCTTGTGGGGCTGCTAAGGGTAGAAGAACAGTAGGTGCCAATCACTACCACAACAGTGCAATGGAGGCAATATAAAATCATAGAATCATAGAATCACCAAGGTTGGAAAAGACCCACAGGATCACCCAGTCCAACCATCCATTCTGTTCAGAGGGAAAGATAAAACTGACTGGGAGTCACGAGACTGCCCTCTTTGCTCTCTGTGCTCCCTGACTGTCTCGCCTACAGCATTAAAGCAAGGAATTTGGTTTTGGAAACTCTCTCTCATTTGATTTGATGTACTAGCTACAAATCCAATTATATTGTACTATGCTGTATAATCTCACATTATGCTATTATATGTACTAAACTAAGTTTTTCCCTTAGCTCGTTGCCTCTGTTTTCCTCATCTTGACCCATCTTCCTACCTTTTCCCTTTCCCCCTACCCTTTTCTGGGGCATGGGTCCATGGGTCCCTTCACCAATTTGTCACAGAACTAGGCCAAACCGTGACACGTGGGCTGATCCAGACTGTCCTGAAACAGAGGGAAGCTTCTGAACACCTGCAGCATATTGTTGAAATCATTGTGTGGGGTAACACAACAGAGGAAGTTTTTCAGAAAAGGAAGAAAATAATCCAAATCCTTCTGAAAGCTTGTTTTGCCATAAAGCAAAGTAAGATCAAGGGACCTCCATAGGAGATCTAGTCCATAGGAATAAAATGGCAAGATGGACATCATCAGATCCCTATGGATGTGATCAACAAAGTGACTACTACGTCTAAAGAAACTATCAGAAAGGAAACACAAGTTTTGTTAGGTGTTGTCTACTTTTAGAAAATGCATGTTCTGAATTGCATTCTGATTGTATTCTCTCTATCAAGTGACTTTGAAGCAATGCAGTTTTAAACAGAGAACTGAGCAACAGTTCAGACTTTGAAGAAATTAAACAGAAGATAATTCATGAAGTAGCCCTTGGGCAAGTCCAGGCAGAACAATATGAGAACAAGATGTAAAAAACATGCTGTACACCTCAGGCAAGGAGAATGGCTCAACTCAGAGCCTCTGGCAGACTGTATAATAAACTACCAGAGAATGAGAAAAAAAAAATGCTTTGTTCACTCATGGGTCCCATCTTATTTTGAGAAATCATCAGAGGTGGAAGGCTGCAGTCTGCAGTCATACACAAGTTGCAGAAGCTACTGAAGGTAAAGGTGAATTGAACCAACTGGCAGAAGAGAAAACCATCCACCTGGCTTCAGATACTGCTGAATGAGAGAAGTGGCCAGGTGGTCTACCTCTATACTGACTCCTGGATGGAGGCAAATGTCCTACGATGATGGCTACAGCAATGGAAGCAGAACAACTGGCAGCACAGAGGCAAAACCATCTGGGCCACTGCATAGAGACAAGATATTGCTGCCTGTGTAGAAAACATGGTTGTGAAAGTGTCACATACATGTTCACATACCCAAGATTGGCTTAGGTAGATTTGGACTGGAAACATAAGGGTGAATTATTTGAAGCTCAGTGAGCCCTCAGGCCATCAAGGAACAAATGTACCATATAGATGGACTCAGGATTGAGGGGTGGACTCCACTGTGGATGCTATTGCACTTCTCTGGGAGAAGCTGGCAGCCCATGGCCTGGACAGGTACACTCTTTGCTGGGTAAAGAACTGGCTGGAGGGCCAGGCCCGGAGTGTGATGGTGAATGGAGTTAAATCCAGCTGGCAACCGGTCACGAGTGGTGTTCACCAGGGGTTGGTACTGAAGCCTGCCCTCTTCAGTATTTTTATTGATGAACTGGATGAGGGCATTGAGAGCACCCTCAGTAAGTTTACAGATGACACCAAGTTGGGAGGAAATATGTATCTGCCTGGGGGAAGGAAGGCCCTACAGAGGGATCTGGACAGGCTGGATCGCTGGGCTGAAGCCAATGGGATGAGGTTCAACCAGACCAAATGCCAGGTCCTGCTCTTTGGCCACAACAACCCCAGGCAATGCTACAGGCTTGGGGCAGAGTGGCTAAAGGACTGTGAAAAGGAAATGGACCTGGGGGGGTTGATGCTTTGCTGAATATGAGCCAGCAGTGTGCCTGGGTGGCCAAGAAGGCCAACGGCATCCTGGTTTGTGTCAAAAAATAGTGTTGCTAGCAGGAGCACGGAACTAATTTTCCTTCTGTACTCAGCACTGGTGATACTGCACCTTGAATACTGCGTTCAGTCTTGGGCCCCTCACTACAAGAAAGACATCGAGGCCCTGGAGTGTGTTCAGAAAAGGGTAACAAAGCTGGTGAGGGGTCTGGAGCACAAGTCCTATTAGGAGCGGCTGAGGGAGCTGGGATTGTTTAGTCTGGAGAAGAGGAGGCTCAGGGGTGACCTTATCGCTCTCTACACCCACCTGAAGGGAGGTTGTGGTGAGGTGGGTGTCAGCCTCTTCTCTCATGTAACTAGTGATAGGACTAGAGGGAATGGCCTCAAGTTGCACTAGCGAAGATTCAGTCTGGACGTTGGGAAATACTTCTCTGAGACAGTCGTCAGGCACTGGAACAGGCTGCCCAGGGACATGGTGAAGTCAATGTCCCTGGAGGTGTAGGCAATGAGGAACATAGTTGTCATGGTTTTGGTTTTTGCTTATTTGACTTTCAGTATTCAACATCAAAACATCGTGTACTGGAAGTGTTAATATTCTAACTCTACGTACCTATCCCTATACATTGCGGAAGTCACGGGATCTGACCCTTCCGGGGGGGGGCGGTCTCTTACTGCCTGGCAGTGGGTGCTGGAGGGTGCTTTCCTAGCCGTTCCAAGCTTTTTCAGGTTTGACTCGGTCTCGGGAACTCTCTCTCATATCTTATTTCATTCATTAGTCTCAATTTCAATTAGATTGTATTATATTGTATTATTTTGTATTCCGATATCATAGTTAGTAAAATAAGTTTACCTCCATAGATTGTTGCCGCTGTTTCTTTCCTTTTCCCCCTTCCTTCCCATTTTGTGGGCCCAGGTGGGGGGTGGGGAGGGCAGGGGCATACTGCCCCCTGTCACGGGCATAAACTGATCCAGTTAATTCCGTGACAATAGTTTAGTGAGCATGGTGGTGATGGATCAGTGATTGGACTAGATGATTTTAGTGGCCTTTTCCAACCTTAATGATTCTATGAAAAGGACAACAAATTTCACAGAGAAAGGTTTCAAACAGATTAAAGAAATTAACTTAACAAAACATTTTACAGAGCAGATTAATACTAAGTGCTTCTCTTTCCTCATTTTGCTTTTCTTTTTCTTTTTGTCTATGTGATCCCAGTATAACATAATAGGTGTTCTGGAATAGAGCTACAGAAGTCATCAGCTGTGCAGTTTGCTACTAAAAAACATGCCAGTTCTTATTGTGAAAAAGTGAATGCACTCAGTAACATACATCCAAAACATTCAGCTTTATGATAAGTGCAGAGCATACTTAACTTTCTTGTAACCATGTTTGATAAGAGCAATGAAAATTGCACAAAATATCCATTGTTGCAATATAAATGCTTCTTTTACAAAAAAATACTTACATATATCTGGATCTTTACTTTTCTTTGTTTTGTTACTAAGACTTATCTCAAATCTATTAATATCACACGAAAGATCACTAGGGGAAGAGACAGAAAGCCTTGATTATTAATACTATACTTGATCAATATTTAAATTTATTCTAAAGTTATTTCAAACCTGACTTCTCATGATCAGCTAGACATATTAACAAAGATACTTAGGTGCATACATAAAATTCTACCCATGCATGTGTCGTTGAAAGGTGGCTGCTATATAGCCATGCATACAGTATTTTGTTCCCAACATTAAGACAACATCATTGAAGAAGAGACAGGTATTAGTTGTAAGTGATTTCTCCCTACAGGAAACTGAACATCCAATATGCCAAGCAGAACCTCTTAGAGAAGTCTGCTGTCTTCCTGGGGCTCAGATGAGGGATGTTGCTGGGAAACTACAGCGACAGACCACAACCCCGTACTACTTTTCCATACAGGGAGAGATGAAGCAGCTACGTTTATCAACGGTACAGATGATGGAATCAAGTGCACCCTCAGCAAGTTTGCAGATGACACCAAGCTGAGCAGTGCAGTTGATACATTGGAGGAAAAGGAAGCCATCCAGAGGGACTAGAAAGGCTGGAGAAGTGGGCCCATGTGAACCTAATGAGGTTCAAGAAGGCCAAGTGCAAGGTGCTGCGCTTGGGCCAGGGCAATCTCAGGTATTTATAAAGACTGGAGGAAGAACTCCTTGAGAGCAGCCCTGCGGAGAAAGGACTTGCGGGGTCCTGGTGGAAGAGAAGCTGGACATGAGCCAGCAGTGTGCGCTTGCAGCCTGGAAGGCCAACTATATCCTGGGCTGCATTAAAAAAGGAGTGTCCAGCAGGGAGAGGGAGGTGATTGTCCCCCTCTACTCGACTCTTGTGAGGCCCCATCTGGAGTCCTGTGTCCAGGCCTGGGGCCCCCAGTACAAGAAAGACACAGAGCTCTTGTAACGAGTCCAGAGGAGGACCGCTAAGATGATCAGAGGGCTGGAGCACCTCTCCTATGAAGAAAGGTTGAGGGAACTTGGCTTGTTTAGCTTGGAGAAGAGAAGGCTGTGGAGACCTCATTGTGGCCTTCCAGTACTTGAAGGGAACATATCAACAGGAGGGAGAAAGACTGTTTACATGTGTTGATAGTGATAGGACAAGGGGGAATGGTTTTAAACTAAGACAGGGGAGATTTATGTTAGATATTAGGAGGAAGTTTTTCACCCAGAGGGTGGTGACACACTGGAACAGGTTGCCCAAGGAGGTTGTGGATGCCCCATCCCTGGAGGCATTCAAGGACAGGATGGATGTGGCTCTGGGCAGCCTGATCTAGAATCATAGAATGGCCTGGGTTGAAAGGGACCACAATGATCATCTAGTTTCAAGCCCCCTGATATGTGCAGGGTCACCAACCACTAGACCAGTGACCTAGACCAGGCCATTCTATGATTCTGTGATACATATGGCTATGGGTAAAGGGACTTCAGTGCCTTGGGATGACAGCCGAAGGAATTGAATGCGCAGCTCATCTTTTCTTCTTCTCTGTATTGGGCAAGGATATGGGAACCAATCAAAGGATCTTATCTTTAAATACCTAGCTTCATGGCAGGTGCTGTTGCCAGAACTTGGGTTTTTTGGAAACCAAATGGCCTACATGGTACCAGGTTTGTGGGCACTGGATGGGGTTTGCCTTTCTCAAACAGGGAGAAGGGTCCTTGGGGAAAAGCTGGTGGGACTCATTGGGAGGGCTTTATATTAGGTTTGAAGGGGGACGGGGAACAGCAAGCCTTCCTGTGATGAGGTGTGATATGGCATAGCTAGATTAGAGGAACAGGGTGCTAGCAGGGGCCTTTTGGAGGACCCATTTCCTTGAGAGGGGCTGGCAACACTGCACATATGAAATCCTGATGATGAGGCAGTGATTGCTGGGGCAACAGGAGAAGGCAATGGGGAAAATCAATGGAAACACTTAAATGGAATTAAGGAGTTATCCTTTAAAGAAGTGACAAGATCAGCTGCCCCACTGAAGTGCCTCTATACCAATGCAAACAGCTTGGGAAACAAACAGGAAGAGCTGGAAGCTACTGTACTGCTTGAAAACCACGATATAGTTGCGTCACCGAAACCTGGTGAAATGATTCCCATGACTGTATTGTGGCTATTGATGGCTACAAGCTGTTCAGAAGGGACAGGTGAGGAAGGAGAGGAGGAAGTGCTACTATCTACATCAGGAAGGGAATAGAATGTTTAGAGCTGTACTTAAAGAGTAGTCATGAGCTAGTTGAAAGCCTGTGGGTGAAAGTTAGAGACTAAGGCAGCAAAGGGAGTCTTGTGATCGGTGTCTACTAAAGGCCACCTGATCAAGAGGAGCCTGTCGATGAGGCCTACCTGCAACTACAGGAGGCGTTGCGATCACAAGTGCTCGTCCTGCTGGAGGACTTCAACCACCCAGACATCTGCTGGAAAAGTAGCACAGCAAGCTGCAGGTGATCCAGGAGGCTCCTGGAATGCATTGAGAATAACTTCCTGAGACAAGTAATAGATGGCCCCACAAGGGGGAATTCAATACTGGATCTGCTGCACACCAATGTAAATGAACTGATTGGTGTCATCAGGATTGGAGGCTGCCTGGGCTGTAGTGACCATGCTATGGTTGAATTCATTCTCCAGAGGGACATGAGACAGGTGAAGAGTAAAATTAGGAAGCTAAACTTTAGGAAAGCTAACTTCCAGCTTTGTTAGTCAACAAAGCACCCTGATAAACTGTTCTCATGGGCAAGGGTGCAGAGCAGAGCTGGCAGATTTTTAAGGAAACTTTCTTCAGGGCACAAGAGCTCTCCATCCCCAAGTGTAGCAAGTCAGGAAAGGAAGGCAAGAGACTGGCATGGCTAAATGGGAACCTGCTGGTCAAACTGAAGAGCAAGAAGAAAATGCACAGGCAGTGGAAACAGGGACAAGTACTGTGGGAAGAGTATAAGGAAGCTGCTATGCTGTGTAGGGATGAGGTCAGGAAAGCCAAGGCCCAGCTTGAAGTGAACTTGGCAAGGGATGCCAAGAAGAACAAGAAAGGCTTCTACAGGTACCTCAACCAGAAAAGGAAAGTCCAGGAAGCCATACCCCCCCCCCCTCCAGTGAGTGACACAGGCAGGCTGGTAATAACAGACAAGGAGAAGGCTGAGGTCCTTAACAACTTTTTAGCCTCGGTCTGCCCTGATAACTGCTCATCACACAGCCCTCAAACATTTGGTTTGGCAGGAGGGGATTGGGGAAGCAATGTCCCTCCCACTGTAAGCAAAGATCAAGTTCATGACCACCTGAGGAATCTGAACATCTACGAGTTTATGGGTCCCGATGAGATGCATCCCAGAGTCTTGAGAGAATTGGCTGAAGTAGTCGCCAAGCCAATCTCTGTGATATTTGAAAGGTCGTGGCAATCAGATGAAGTCCCTGGTGACTGGAAAAAAGGTAACATCACACTCATTTTTAAGATGGGTAAAAAGGATGATTGCAAGAACTACCATCCTATTAGTCTCACCTCTGTGCCAGGGAAGATCATGGAGCAGATCCTCCTGGAAGCTATGCTAAGGCACGTGGAGGGCAGGGAGTTGATACAGGAGAACCAACATGGCTTCACCAAGGGCAAATCCTGCTTGACCAACCTAGTGGCCTTTTATGATGGTGTCACTGCATCAATGGACAAGGGAAGAGCCACTGATGTCATCTATCTGGCCTTCAGTAAGGCCTTTGACACGGTCCCCCACAACATCCTTCTCTCCAAATAGGAAAGATGTGGATTTGACGGGTGGACTATTCAATGGATGAAGAACTGGCTGCAGGATCGAGTCCAGAGAGTGGTGGTCAATGGCTCCATGTCTGGATGGAGATTGGTGATGAGTGGTGTCCCCCAGGGGTCCGTGCTGGGGCTGATACTCTTTAATACCTTCATCAGTAACATTAACAGTGGGGTCGAGTGCACCCTCAGCAAATTTGAGGATGACATGAAGCTGTGGGGTGCGGTGACACACCAGAGGGATGGGATGCCATCCAGAGGGACCTAGACAGGCTTGAGCAGTGGACCCAGGTGAACCTCATGAGGTTCAGTAAATCCAAGTGCAAGGTCTGAACCTGGGTCGAGACAACATCTACTAGCAACACAAGCTGGGGGAAGAAAGGATTGAGTGCAGCCCCACCAAGAAGGACTTGGGGGTACTGGTGGATGGCAGCAGCTGGACTTGAGCCAGCAGTGTCCCCTTGCAGCCCAGAAAGCCAACCGTATCCTAGATTGCATTCAAAGCAGTGTGGCCAGCAGGGCAAGGGAGGTGATCCTGCCCCTCTACTCTGCACTGGTGAAGCCTCACCTGGAGTGCTGCGTCCAGATGTGGAGTTCTCAGTACAGGAGAGACATGGAGCTGTTGGAGCATGTCCAGAGAAGGGCCAAAAAAATGACCCTAGGGATGGAACACCTCTCCTATGAGAACAGGCTGAGAGCTGGGGATGCGCAGCATGGAGAAGTCTGCAAGGTGACCTGAGAGCAGCCTTTCAATATCAAAAGAGGAGCTACCGGAAAGGGGACAGACTCTTTAGCAGAGTCTGTGGTGATAGAACAAGGGGAAATGATTTCAAGCTCAAAGAATGTTGATTTAGGTTGGATATAAGGAAAACGTCTTTTAACAGTGAGGGTGGTGAGGCACTGGAATAGGTTGCTCAGAGATATAGTCGATGCCCTGTCCTTGGAGACTTTCAAGGTGAGGCTGGATCAGGCCCTGGGGAAACCTGATCTAGCTGTGGATGTCCTTGTTCATTGCAGGGGAGTTGGACTAGATGACCTTTAATGGTCCTTCCCAACTCTGTGATTCTTCTATGATTTTTAAAAGCATACACAACACAGTAGAGTGTAAAGAACATTTAAAGCTGCATTGCATTTGAGTGAAATTTAGTAATTCAATAAGATAAAGACTTACTCAAAGACAAATTCTTCTGACCATACAGGGTTCTGCCCTTCCCTGGTATGTGTTTTTGCAACCTGGACACTATTCAGGTATATGTTACAGTACGGATTAGTAAAATGCTTTACTGGGAGCGTATGAGCTTCTTCTACATGCAAAATAAGACTGTTGACCTAAAGAAAATACACAAAATTTATTTCTTAAAAAAAAATAAAAAAGAAAAGACTTATCCCCCCATGTGAATGTTAAAGAATAAATATCAAATACAAACAATAATTTCCTAATTGAAAGAGCAGAAAACGGGAGTAACGGAACAAGATTCTAAGAGCAACTTAAATAACTTGAAAATAAGTCTCCACCACCATAGTTTTAACTAATTTTTTCCTTTTAAAACCACTACTAAGAGACATTAAGATTTGCAAGTACTAACTTTTCTATGCATAGAAAATTCTGTTCAAGTCTGAGATCTGTATCTGGAATAAGAGCCACAGACAATTCCAAACACCATGTCATATTTTATGCCTTCCTAACAGATTACATAGAATTCCCTTGTTCAACACTAATATCTCCCTTTTAATGGGAAAAACAATTGGTACTGTAGATTCTCAAAGTAATAGCACTTAGCGACCTAAATTCCAGAAAATGAAAAGTAAACTTTCTAAAATCATCTATATTAAATGTTTTAAGCAGCCTACTATTTTACAAACTTCTGAATTGCATGCAGTTCATAGCTGAATCCAACATCTAACAGTATAAACTCAAGTCAAATTAGACAAATACAGAAAATACCACACTTGAACAAGTCAACATTCCATTTAAATTCAAATATTCAGTACCAGAAGTTTCAAAGGACAGTTCAAGAAACCTTGAAGAAAATTATATATAACAATTCAAAATAAAGTTTCCTTAAAGTCTCTTAGAAGGTAGATTATGTCATAAAAATTATTACTAATCAAATTTAGTACTACTTAGCAAATTTGGACCGATGACCTCCAGAGGTCCATTCCAACCTAACCCATTTTATGATTCTGTGAAAAACTGTAGACTCTTATTTTTCATTATACTTTGGAGAACGTGCAAACAAAACTAATTGATGTAGTATCTGCTTCCCTTTCTGTTCTTAAATTTAAGCTCCCTGATATCGTTTCTATAAGTCAGACATCTAAGTGTTTGGTGGTTGTTTATTGTGTTTGCTTTTTTTTTTTTTTTTTTTCTTTTGGGTACGTGTGTGTCTTTATTCACTTTATCTACCTTGATCACTCATGCTCTTTTATACTTTCCTCCTAAATAATCCAATACTTCCCACACTATACTTATTTAACTGGAACTTCTTTTACTCATTCTAGCCTGTAATAAAAATCCCTTTCTCACATTTCCTTTATATATTTTGTTATTACCTTGTATCAAACTAACTCTATCATATATGAGAACACCACAAATATTACGTAGGCTGCTCCAAAAGTAATGCATTTTCACCAGAAATGAACAAAAGCCTGCATGCCACACTTATAAAAATCTGCACCAGCGAAGGTGACCCACTGTTTCACAGTTGCCATAACAGCATCATTGCTAAAGCACACCACCCACTGCCTCACTGTGCTAACATCCACTGTTTGGTCTCCATAAACGTTCACCAAGCATCGATGAATGTCAACGGGTACAATTTTTTCTGCATGAAGGAATTCAATGATACTCCTTTGCTTCATACACACTTCCATGTCAGAGACCATTTTGTCAGACTGTCCTTCTGCTACCACAGAATGTGTGCACAGCCACAAAATGTAATGGAATGTTGGCAGGAAGGTTCAATCTCTTCTGCCATACAACCAACATCCACCTCTGATGTTGTGGGCCAACATAATAAAACAGGAGGCATTACTTTCAGAGCAGTCCTTGTAAACAGTATCCATTTTCTATTGTATTTCTTCATGCAGCCTAATGCTTAATTTCCTTTTGAAATACAGAATTCAGAAGTTCATATCATTACTGCAGGTGCTTTTCTTTTTTGGATCCCAATTTTTAGCTGCTGGTTCATACATCAGTTCACCTACATTAATTTGGTTCTGCAGAAGTAGTAATAATTTTGTTTCCTAAAAGAAAAAACCCACAAAAAAAAGTTTTTTTTCTTTTAATGGACTGCTAAAACAGCTTCCTCCAATGTTCCTAGCATTCAAAGATACCAGGAATTCTTGAAGTATTTTCCCATTATTCTTTATTCATCACAGATTTAGACATGTATGACTACCCATTCTTTATCTGTGAAAAATTCTGGCCACAACAGTACTCTTAAAAGACAAAAAGAAGTTAAGTCACAAGCACAGTCAGTTATGCTAGTATTTTCATTAAATGTGACGTAAGTCTATCAAACCCAGTGAATTTTAAGAATTAAGGTAATACAAATGAATAATTCTTGATGCTTTTACTCAAATGTGGTCAGAAATTAATGCTTAGCTGACTGCCTAAAAAGCATTTTTTTTCTATATGTATATAGACATTGTAACAAAGTGGAAGTCATTCTCGTTGGTTTAAGAAAGGAACTGTGTATGTCCAAAAAAAAAAAAAAAAAGCATGCAAAATTTACTATTGTTGAAAGTTCTGAGATGCATCAGCATCATTCTGCAAAAAGGACACACACACATCACTATCCATATAACTTCACCTGACGTAGACGTTTATTTGATGTCCCTGGACTGTTTTTTCTTAAACTGCAAAACATCTGCAGAGCTTTCATCCAATCCTAAGAGAGAAAAACACAGAAAAGTGTAAAAGTCAGACTCATCATCATCAAGATATTCTTTAGATTGAAAGGAATCAACTTGTATGCAATTCAAAGCATGAAAATTTAAATATTAAAGCAAAAATCATCTTTACTCAGTTAAACAAAAAGCATTTGCCAAACTGATTTTCTTTTAGAAATATCAAGCGTTACTAACACAGCGTGACCTTTAACGATTTTCCAAATTAACGACACTGCATTAAATTAAAAACAATATATAACATGAAGTCAGACTTGGTTTCTGAAAAAAAAATGACAAGTCAAACTGTTCTGATCATTCTCTCCTCCATTTATTTTACTGCATATAGAATAATAGAATCACAAGGTTGGAAAGGACCTGCAAGATCATCTAATCCAACTGTCCTCCTATCACCATTACAACGCACTAAGCTACTAAATCATTTCTCGTAGCTCCTCATCCAGATGCCTCTTGAACACCACCAGGGATGGTGACTCCACCATCTCCCTGGGCAGGCCATTCCAGTGCCTGACCACTCTCTGAGAGAAGTAGTTCTTCCTTAAGTCTAACCTAAACCTCCTCTGGTACAATTTGCGGCTATTTCCTCGGGTCCTGTTTGCTGCCTGGGAGAAGAGGTCAAACCCCTCCTCATCACAACCTCCCTTCAGGAAGTTATAGGGTGTGATGAGATCTCCCCTGAGACTCCTCTTCTCTAGACTAATCAATCCCAGCTCCCTCAGCCGCTCCTCATAGGACTTGTGCTCCAGACCCCTCACCAGTTTCATTGCCCTTCTCTGGACACGCTCCAGGGCCTCAATGTCTTTTTTGTAGTGAGGCGCCCAAAACTGAACACAGCACTCAAGGTGTGGCCTCAGCAGTGCTGAGTACAGGGGGATAATTACCTCCATACTCCTGTTGGCCACAATATTTCTAATGCAGGCCAGTGTTGCAGGCTAGCAACATGACACAGGGTTCTCATGCAAAAGATTCCACTTTATTTTCCCAAGCAAGCTTTTTATCTTCTAACACGCGCATTCAGTACATTTCCACTAACAATCCATTGACTAGAAAGCAAGCAGGTTTCATAACAAATCTTCATAGCAAGAGAGCTTATCTTATGCTTAGCTGCAAAACATCCTGCTTATTCCATCTTTCGTTCCCTTTCCCAGAGCCTCATTATCAGCAAGTCGGCACTCAAAGAGGTCAAACCAACCTCTCCATCCCTCACATCTCCCCTTTCTTTATTAATAAAAAAGGCATGGTTTAAAGCATCTTGTATCATTTTCTGGATACACTGCAATAGTCAAGGAACACAAATCAGAATACAGAGAAAAGCAATAAGACAAACAAACCTACTTTTAACAAGTTTTGTATCCACACCCCCAGGCCTCCAAAGAGCCCTCCAAATATATCCAACCTGTTATCAACCTGTAATTTCTTAACTCCATTCTGTAAATCTTGGATGTTTCTTTGTATAGATTTCAAATGATCTGGCAGATTTATACAACACATACCATCAAAATCCTGACACCTGTGCTCAATGCTGTAGCTGATGCAACACCCGGGGCTAAAAAGGATGCCGCTATTATCTGCCAGGGGTTCCAAAATTCAATGCCATCCGGGCAGTCTGGCTCAAAGGCATGTGTAGTTCACTTAAAGCGATTTTGATGGTGAATAATCATGGAAATATTAGGTGTTAATAGGGTTAATCTCCCCAGACTGCAGAGACCTCCTTTGATGTGAGAGGGGATGGCAGGCCATGCCCTGTCCCCGCAAATGAGAAAAACACCTGCTGGCAAACTAAGTGGATGGTTACTAGATCTTGAGATGTTAGCTGAAGTATAATTACACCAAGCAGAGTGATTCCTAAAAGCAGCTAAACTAGAATTAACACACTGAACTAACGATTGATTATTTCCACTATAGTTAAAGTACAAACAATAGTCCATTTTAACCAATCCCAACAATTCCAGTTCTTGTGATTTCAGATTGCTCTGTTGCAGATGAGGTACCCATCCAGCCCATCTGTTGACTACTGTGCTCGTGTTGAATGCTATCCCAAGAACGGAGCTTGGGATGGGCCATTTGTCTAGGGGTTGTCCCACCAAAAATGTCGAGAATGGGTTCTATGGTGACGTGGTTGACAAACAAAGTGTGTCTTGCCCCATCTTGTTGATGAGGGTGACCCATATATTCTGTTTTGGTTGAGCTGGAATCCAAACCTCTGATGAAAGAGTGGTGATCATGTTACAGCAGATGACGAAACGGATGGCCGTACCCATTGTGCTGGTACCCCTCTCGGACCTGTTCCAGCAAGTTATTAAGCCTTTGTCCAGTGAGAAGGAATCGGAGTGGTTAGGGGCGATGAAACCTCAGGCAGCTGTGTTTCTCTCAACGCTACCCCATACAGGCTTCTATGTCGAGCCTCGTGTTTCTCGCAACGCACTCTCCATGGCCTCCCTCGCGTTTCTCACAACGCGTTCTCTGACCAGTCTGCTTTTCAAGGGTTCCTGTTTGGACTCAGATATGAACGACCCAAATCGTTTATTACAGGTTCTCACATAACTTATATACATTCACGTTTCCTTTTATGGCTTTCCATTTTCCCTTACAACATTCCCCTTTTTCGTTTATTAGCAAACTATTACCACACTATAAAATAATAGCACTAATTATATTAATAACATAATCATCATAACTCAGTCAAGGCCTCGCTAAAAATAAGAAAAGAGTTACATGGAAGGTCATAATTTTTTTTTATAGTTGATCTAAACACACTCACAAAGGCATCTATTTTAGACAATTCCATGAGTGGGAAATGGAAACTTCCTAAGCTAATGTATTATTCCTTATTAACCCCTGAGAGATGGCAAACCGCGGAAAGGAGCGAGAAGGAACACGCCGGCGGAGGATGAGATAGGCAGTGCCACCAGGGTGTCCCCTGCTTCAAAGTGCACTTTCCCTCTCACCCACTGCAGACTCTCTCCTACTTCTATTCTCAGGGTCTGCAGGTGTCATGGTTTTATGATTTTTGGTTATCAGTATTCCACATCATAACATCATGTTATCATAACATCTAGTTCAAGCCAGAACCAGGCCTTTACCCTCTGGAAGCAGATGTTGTTAGCTGTAAAAGAAAGATACCTCTTCAAAGACGATCTGATGCCTGAGAAAAAGAAATGGGCTGATATAGAAGAAGGCATACATTATTTGAGAGAATATGCTGTGGTGGAAATGCTACATAGCCCTGATTTCATTCCTAATGAGCCAGACCAAGAGCATGATCCTGAGAGAGTCAGGTGTACACTAAATATGTGGCGTACATTCACAAAGACTGCACCCGAAAGGTATACCAGCACATTTGCAGCAATGTATGGCAGAGGAGAAAGAAGACCCCTTATAAATGAATTGGTTAATAAACTTCAAGACTTTGAGTTACATTTAAGCCTTCTACGAGCTTGTGTTTCAGCCATTGCAAAAGTAGCTGGAAAGCTGGACAGAATGGAGAACAAACAAGAAGATATAATAGACAAACTATCAATAGTGCCTGATGCTGATGAATCCATGGTGGTAACAGATACATCCACTGGGGACCAGAACTCCCAAACAGCCTACTGGAGGGGCTTATCAACTTGATTTCCTCCCAGCCAGTGTCATCCAATGTCTCAGCTATCAAAAGAAGACGTTCTCCTGCTCAAGCAAGTGACAACAGTAAGACTACGTCACGTTTTGCCTTGTGGCATTACCTACGTGACCATGGGGAAGATATGAAGAAGTGGCATAAACAATCTACTCCTGCACTTCAAGCACGGGTAAAAGAATTACAAGACAAATCAACCACCAAGGTGAACTGCTCCAAAAAGGTGATTGCTCCAGTTGCTGCAGACAACAGAGGTAACAAATAGAGGGGCCCTGCCCCCAGCCAGGAGGGGGAAAGGGATAATAGAGTTTATTGGACTGTGTGGGTTAGATGCCCTGGCACATCAGAATCACAAAGATATAAGGCCCTGGTGGATACTGGTGCACAGTGCACTCTAATGCCCTCGAGTCACCAAGGGACAAAATCAATTTATATTCATGGGGTGACTAGGGGTTCCCAAGAGCTGACTATGTTGGAGGCCAAAATCAGCCTCACTGGTAAAGACTGGCAAAAGCACCCTATTGTGACTGGCCCAGGGGCTCCATGTATACTTGGTATTGATTACCTCAGAAGGGGATATTTCAAGGATCCCAAGCGGTATCGATGGGCCTTTGGAATAGCTGCTGTAGACACAGAAGGTGTTAAGCAGTTGTCTGTTTTGCCTGGCCTGTCAGAAGATCCGTCTGTTGTGGGGTTGCTACGAGTGAAAGAGCAGCAGGTACCGATCACTACAAAAATGGTGCACAGATGGCAGTACCGCACCAACAGGGATTCCTTGCTCCCCATTCAGAAGTTGATTCGTCAACTAGAGAGTCAGGGAGTGATTACCAAGACTCACTCACCTTTTAACAGGCCCATATGGCCTGTGCGTAAAGCCAGTGGAGAATGGAAGCTGACGGTGGACTACCATGGCCTGAATGAAGTCACACCCCCATGGAGCATTGCTGTGCCGGACATGTTAGAACTCCAATATGAATTGGAGACAAAAGCAGCGAAATGGTATGCCACCACTGATATTGCTTACGCCTTTTTCTCCATTCCTTTGGCCAAAGAATGTAGGCCACAGTTTGCTTTCAACTGGAGGGGCATTCAGTATACCAACCATTTGCCATGGGTTGATCCAAGCCGCACTGGACCAGGGCGGTGCTCCTGAGCACTTACAATACATTGATGACATCATTGTGTGGGGCAACACAGCAAAAGAAGTTTTTGAGAAAGGAGAGCAGATAATCCAGATCCTTCTGCGTGCTGGTTTTGCTGTTAAGCGGAGCAAAGTGAAAGGACCTGCCCAGGAAATTCAGTTCCTAGGTATAAAGTGGCAAGATGGACGTCGTCACATCCCGACAGATGTGATCGACAAAATCACTGCCATGTCTCTGCCCACTAGTAAGAAAGAGACACAATCCTTTCTGGGCATAGTAGGTTTTTGGAGAAT